AGGGTTAGGCCAGGAGAGGGAAGGGTGGACAGGCTGAATCCAATCCCTTTGTGCCGTGGAATTGGAGCCAGAATGAGAAATGGGTAGATCTATGTATTAATTTTGTAAGTCCTTGACAGAAACCCTATTTCCTGAAATCCTTTTTGCCAGAAACAGAAGATTTCAAGCAGGTCTTTTAGAAGTATACTCGTATACTGTTTATGGAAAATGCCTTTCATGGGAAGTACCGTCGACTTCATGGAATGGGATGCTCTCCCGGGTGGTTTTATGAATAAGACAAAGGGATTTGAATGAGGCAAGATCACACTATATATTTGCCGTCGATCTTTTCCAGATCTGGCAGGAATAAAAAGACCACCATTTGATACGCCCATCAAAAGCCCGATCTGTTCATTTTAGATATCGGCTTCTGCTGTTTTCCAGAATCTGTCCTGAGTACATCCAGGATACGATGCCAGTCCGATACCATCCCTACTATCCCACAGCGCTAATTAAATGGTCCCACAGAGATAATGGAATTAGCACCTCCCAGAAAATCTGATTTATGTAAACTAAGCCCAACACACTCACTGGTAGATGGAGGAACGGGGGGGGGAGGAGAAAATGAGCGAGTTGGGTAAACATTAGCTAATCTGATTTTAATCTCGGTCTAGACCATAGTGAGTTAATTAGCTGCATTTGATTAGCGTCTTCCCATGAAGCATATTAGTTATATCTGTCAGTTGTGATTACAGAAGCGTGATAAGTTAGAGTATGATTGTGCTCTTTACTGGATTTACGAATCTCAGATAACTGGCAGCAGCCGTGTGGCCGTGGTCCTCAAGCAGATAAGGAGACATGCGCTTTTCATTCACACCTGCCCCTCGAGGTTCATTTCCAACCGCGCTTCAACCACAAACCAAACCAGGCATGTCAGTCATCACCCTCCCGTGTTTTGTGATGTCATCGATTTTTAAAATTTTATTTATTTACTTTTTTTAAAGGTCTGGGAGTAGTTTTACAATTTTCACATAATTGTCTGCCCTAAAGAGCAGCCTTTTAATATTGCCTTACATTTGAATACGGTAACTAAGTGCCAAAACTTCAGCTCTGGATCTCTCTGTCACCTTATTCTTTACAGCGAATCTATGATTATAATCAAAGTGTTTTTTTTTTTTATTTATTCGTATCATTTTTATTATCGTCAGGTTCTACCATGCTTGCGAATCAAGCGTTCCCAGCCCTAAATGAACGTATTATGTGCACAAATCTAAATCTAAAGCCACGCTGTGAAGAGGTGGATACGTGTGCTAGCTTGTTTGCGTGATTTATTCATCAGAGTTTTGTCTCTGCAGTGTTAATGATACATAGTAACTATATCACAAGTGAACGACAGATGTTTCCACAGCCACTGTAATCACTCATACGGGTTCTTACGTTGGTGTTTTGTTACTATTTATTAAGCAAATTCATTTACTGGGGCCCAAATAGCAGCTGCGTCTTTAATAAGTGCATTAAAACGCTGTGCCGTGCCACATGCATGGTGAGTAAAATTGTAATGTGATGCTTAATTAATGTGTTATCTGCATCTGATGCAGTAGAAATGGTTTTTCCCCTTGCATGTGTACAAGCACGTGACATACTGCTTTCTGCAAGACACTGTATCCTGACGTTTTGAACCCTGAACCTGGCTACACAATGCATGGCCTTCCATCTGCCCCCTGCTGATAGGAGTATTATCAGTATAATCCATATGCCTGGTGTGTTTTGGCCTGATTTTGCCCTCCTGCTGAGACTTACAGATAGAAGCTGTGCTTTACTGGTAACTGTACTGCTGAAGAGAGCACTTCATCTCAGCTGTCTCCAGACAGATTTTAAGCTAATTGATAAGACATACTGGTTTTAACTGGAATTCACAATAAGGCAAGCGCAAGTGAGGCGTATCATCTAGCTCTGTGCTTCCCAATCTGGTCCTCAGGAACCCACAGCCCACGTTTTTGCTCCCTCCGTACTCCCTGCCAGACAGTCCACGTTTTTGCTCCCTGCTCCTGTCTGTGGGTCCTCAAGGATCGGATTGGGAAACACGGATCTAGCTATTTATCTATGCTCAGAGACGATTCGCGCCTTGTCTTTTCTCTCTTGTGGCACCGGGAGGCTCCCTCGGTCCCTGCCTCCATCGTCTGCTATATCATCGGCCACTTCTTTCCATTTGTGCGTGGCGTGATTGATCGTAACCCGAGATGTTAATAGAGTCGACGGTTGCCCGTCCTCCAATCGCAGCAGAGAGCTCGAGATGTGGAGAACGTGCTGAAATGAGCAGCCCCCACTCTGACGCTGGCATCCCCCCCCCATCGAGGGTCTGTAAATGGTACATGGGTGTCAAGGCACCCTGAACTAAAAGATACAACACAGACAGGGACGGGGGACCTGCTCTCAGCACAGTGCAGCGAGAGACTATCACCTCTACTTCCCCCAAGTCCTTCGCGATTCTGGAACCCACCCAGCTGGCCCTACTTATCCCTAATGGGGTAATCAGTCCAATCGGCCACAGCTGGATTTTATTAATTGAGGTGTCTCTGGGAGCAAGGCTGGTAATCAATCACCACGGCAACGCAGAATCACAGAAACAGCTCCTGACAATATCTCCCCCTGGCTTACAACGGTTATGTACATTAGAGCAATTTCTTTTTCCGTAATCATTTTTCGGCGTGCCATTAAATACAAAAACGTACTTCTAATTGCTAGCTGCGCCGAACGCGATCAGTTTGAATCCACGTCCAGATGGCTAACCTTGTAGGATCGCAGAGACCACACCAAAGGCTGTCTTACTGTTGTCGCTTAGCAAGGCATTTTGTAAGACCTACAAGAAGAGTCTTACAATCTCTCATTTTTGCATGTGGGAATCTTTTCTGTTTTTAGTGGATCTTTCCCGATTAATTACAGCAGCAGAGTTACCACCTCCCCCCCCCAAGCATGAGCCAACAACCCATAGTTCTGACGTGGCAGTAATAGTGATGTCTAGCTTACCCCGAAAACGTCAGCATAACATGTTATTCTCCACATTAACCCGAATGATGGCCTGTGTCTCCGTCGGCTATGAGAAAAATACAATAGAAGCTTCCTTCTGACTGATAGGTGAGCGATAAGGTGCCCGCGTCTCTCCCTCTCTCTCTCTTTTTTTAATAAATGAATGTTTTCTTAGCGAGTCAGCAGATGAATTGAAGAAAGCGTGTCTAAAAGCCACAGTGGGAATACAGGCTCCACTGACAGAGACAGTTAAATGTCGTCGTCCTACCATGCCTCCCATAAATTCAACGCGGTAAAGGATTCAGAAGCACTCTGTGTGCCGGAGAGAAAAGGGGATTTAATTATCCACGTTAAAAAGGGGGCGGTAAAGCTCCTTAAATCCAGCGTCCCTCCCCAGCACACACGCCGAACTAACAGGTCTGGCCAAACAAGAGGCGATTTAATTCGCTGGCTTTGTTTCCGTGGGCTTTCCTCACAGAAGCAGGCTTGATGTGGTTTATCTGAAGGCCACATTCCGGCATTTGAACCTGAAACATAACAATGAGCAATATGGCGTCGCTCAAATCACTGCCTAGCAGAAATGATGACTAAGAGACCTCATACAGCTAAACGATATTCACATCACAGTATCTGTTGGACGTTCTGTCAAGATTACCTTTGCTGTTACCTCTCAATATGGCTGGCCATTCATCCATCCATCCATCGATACATCCATCCATCGATACATCCATCCATCCATCCATATTCCAGCTTCTTATCCTGGTAAGGGTCACAGGGATCACCATTCATAGAAAATTTTAATACGGCACAGGTCGTGATTCACATACGCTCATAATTTTCACATTTGTGCTCATGACATTGCCATTTGGGATATGAATGTGTCCAGTCGGCCTTATTATTATCTCCAGCAGCCTCATGGTCCCTGTTGCAGAGAAATGTGTCCGGCATAACAGATACATCATCTTGCAACGTGTAATTCATCTGCTTTCATCTGTCGTCTTATGCTCTCCATCATTAGCCGGCTCGGCCTGCTCTCCGCGGCGTCCGCGGTGCTGCTCTGGCCGTTTCTGCAGTTTCCATTTATCGAGTGTTGAAAATCTGAAAGAGATCAAGGGAGTCTTAAGTTACTAAAAGAGCAGGGCGTATTAGACATGGACACGGAAAATGGCGGAGCAGAGCAATATTTGTCAAGGTTAAAGACGCGTGAGGAGGAACTTCAAAGTGTCCTCTCGCTGCCCGTACCCACGCTGATGGATAACGGGGAGCCGTTAATAAAACCCCGGCTTTCTTTCTCAGAACGGCGCCATTTCTGAGCCGTTTGTACTCAGCTTTACCTGGCAGCCGAAGCTTTTCCAGCTGAAAACAGAATAAAAGGTCAACAGGTCAATCCAATACAATGAAATCACTTTTTGTCCAGGCAATGTACTGTAACAACAATGTGTATTGCACAAAAAATAAATACAGTTAGAGAACATGGTTGTGGGTAGAATTAGCAAATTTTTCATTTTCTGTCGGCTGTGAGAGAGCCGCCCATTGAAAGTTTTCTGGCTGGGTGGGGGAATATCAAAGCCCGATTCTGCCTAGAAACTAGACCCAGTGTCTTTACCTATCAGCACAACTATCCGCATTTAACTCATGAAAAACAGAAGGTTATGGGCTCCATTCCCAGCTTTTTGGGCAAATACGAGTATGACTGTAAAATCTAGAAGGTTCCATAAGTTGTCATTTACAAATGTTCGTAAATTTGTAACATTGTTGCTTCTCATAGTTCACATAGTTACCTGCAATACACAGATCAGGGGTCCCCAACAGTCCTCCCCCCCCCCCCAAGGACAAATTCCATCAGCAACACAAAGTCAAAAACTTTGGGGGAGGGGTCCCCTTCATGATAGATATTGTCAGTGGGGGGGGGGGGTCTGGATGTGGACAATTGGTGAGCACTGACTCAGAGCCCCCCCAGTGCTGACCCGCGTGTGGCTCTGATGTGCTTCCAGAGGACCAGCTACCCCCGGGGTTCCCCACCATCGACATGGGCCCCCAGCTGAAGGTGGTGGAGCGGACGCGCACGGCTACCATGCTGTGCGCCGCCAGCGGAAACCCCGACCCCGATATCTCCTGGTTCAAGGACTTCCTGCCCGTCAATACCACCAACAACAACGGGCGCATCAAGCAGCTGCGCTCAGGTAGGGCGCCCCCGCCGACCCCCCCCCGCCCCGGAGCGTCCTTCTGGTTTGCGTCCGTCTCTTTCGTTCTGCTTTGACACGTGGGTATTGCCACTGCCCCCCCTGTCCTTTCCTTTTCTTTTTTTTCCTTCTGTTTACCTGGCGTGTGCCGTCCCCGTCTACGATGATGTCATGCCTCATGGGGTGCCGCGCGTGTGTGCGTGTGGGTCTGCGTGTGTATGCGCGCGTATGTGCATGTGTGAATGTGTGTGTATCTGTGTGTTTGCAGCTTTGTTGTACTACACATTGCTCACTGCTGTGACTGTATTTTTTTATTAGTTTTTTTCCCCTCTACTGCATTTTTGCAGTATTTGACGGATCCATTTTTCTTTTCTTTTTACTTTCTTCCTCTTCTTTTTTTTCCCATAAAAGAACAAATTTTCTGCATTGGGCTTCCTTCAGAACTCTTGAAAGCGCACCCGTGGTGTACTAACTATTCAAAATACAAAATAAAAACAAGCAAATTGCCAACTAACTTAAGCAGTGAATTCAAAATGAATTGTTTTGTTAAATACTTCTCAGTACTTTAGTCAAATAATTAGATGTTTGGATATTAACTGTCTAACTAATACTTTTGGTTTTTTTTTTCTTTCTCAAACAAAACTACTGGGAACCATCTTGCATTACGTATACATCAATTTTTTTTCTCTAGTGGAATTTTCCTGACAGTCAGTAGCCACAGTAGTGTGTGAGATCGCGTAACAGCTTCCCCAGTCCTTCAGTTATACCTGGATCTACTGTCCCTGCTTTTGGTGTAGATTCCAGCCTTTGCTTCTCCTTGCCAATGCCGTCTGCTGCAGACTCCACCCACCAGCAGGGGGTTATGGTCCCAGCACAGAGCCCCCTGCTGGCCGGTGGACTTTGCATCACCGTCTCCCTAATACCCCCCCCTCCTCAGTTCCCCATTTTCTAAATTTTGCTCTGTATTTATGTTTCAGCAATTGCTTAAAATTAATAACAATAACATTACATCGTACGCTCACTTAAATATAATTCAGCTGTTGTCGTTTCCTGTGAAAATTTGTGAACTTTTCACTAGTAATGATTCACATATAGTCTGAGCAATTTAATCTCCTGTCTTCCCAGAATCCTCAGCTTCTGAACTGTCCTGTGTTAAATCGTCTTGTTAACCTTCCTTTTGCTTGTTGTCGGCAGTACTGTGTAAATTAACCTTCTATTAATGTAAGAGTTCATTTAATCACGTGTGACGTAGAGTATATAAAGCTTTATTCTGAAAACTCTGTGCCCAGTTCTAAAGGAATATAATAATATTTCTATGCTGTCTTTTTTCTTTCCGTATTTAAATCTCCAGAATCCTTTGGTAAGTGCTTAGTTCTGAAGCACACTTCACCCCCACTAATTTCCATGTTCAAGTTACTATTAAAATGCATGGCATGCATTTTACTAACAGTTAGCAGTCTCAGCTGATAGCCCTAGTCACACACTCTCACACAGATGTTGTCGTACTAGTCCCAGAAATACCTTTGTAAAGCACACGGTGTCACCCAGATATGATCGAGTATTGGTCACAACACCTTCCCACCCCCCACCCTCCCCCATACATCCCCCCACCTAAACAGCCAATGTCTTCCTATCAGCCTCCACTTTTGTGGTGCTTATCTGACTCTCTCTCCTGAATTATAAGGCTGGTGCCATATGCGTGCGCATTGTCAATCCAGTGTGCCGTAAAGATGTGACATTCCCGTGGTTGGGAGCTCTTTAGGGTTTAGTTCAGGGTTGTCAGAGGCTTCCAGGTTATACCAAGTCTCCTCTTCACATCGCGGCTCCTTAAAGGCCCGTCTCTGTTTAGTCTTCCCACCGGAAGCCAAGCCAGTTTCCAAAATGGCTCCTCGTTTGTGAAGCAACACTGTACAACTTGCTGTTTGACCTACCAGTGCTACCTATGATAATCCTGTTTTGCCAGTAGAGTAAATCAAGTTCTCTCTCTCTCTCTCTCTCTCTTCTAGTACCTTTATTTACGTACTCTGTGAAATCTAATTTGATTCTTCTTCCAAAGCCCCAGCACCTTTCTCCTCGTACTAATGCCTCTTCTTTCTAATCTTATTTGCATTCATATTATCCACCCAGGTGGTACGCCAATAAGAGGTAAGAGTGCTGAACTAATGTCCATAGAATGAATTATTTCATTCTTGCTGTCTCCCCATCCTCTCCATTGTTGTCCTGTTACCCAAACAAAAAAAAAAAAATCATTTAATTCCCAACATCCTCAGTCCTTATTTCGAGTCCCTTCTGTTAATTGCATTGCCTCTTCATTCTGATCCTGCTCTTAATTTCCTCTTTGATTTTATTTTTCCTTTTTTTTTTTTTTGTTTGGAGAGTTTTTTTAATCTAAGTTGTAGATATGCTTACAATGAACTGAAGAAGCATATCAATTTTTTTCCTCATTTTTGTTTTTTTTTTCTTTTTGGTCATAGCCCAGTCACGATGACTCATGTGTCCCTGTTTTTTGTCCAGCTAAAACAGCCCAGCATTTTGCGCCCCCCCCTCCCTTAGCTCTTCTTGTTCAGCACTACGAACCCAGGTGGTGTGGATTCACACAAGCATGCCGAAGACATCGCCTCCCCCTCTGCTTCTTCCTTTTTTTTTTACTCCCCCCCCCCAACAAAGTAATTTCTCTCTTTGCTTTACTTTTTACTTCCATCTGTTTTCTTTCCTCTAACTTCTACAAAAAAAAGCCCAAACAACTACTTTTTTGATAAAGTTTCTACGGTGCTTTTTCTTCCACCTATTTTTTTTTTTCTTCTTCTTCTTCTTCTTCTCCTTCTTCTTCTGCTTTTTCTTGGGTGAGGGGGCGCTACACTTTTTGACTGTTTTTATTCTTCAGGGTGCGGTATTGGATAAATGATGAGTGTGTGCCAGGCCGTTGGGTGTCTCCTGTTCATTTTTGGTCATTTTTTGCCCATGTGCCTCGAGCGGCGAAGCGGTACGGCGCGCGTGACGTTTTTCCTGGGTTTCGTGACACCGCACTGCTGATCCCGTTGGTGGATTTTCACGGGTGTCCCTTTCAGCCGTGCCAGCGGTCGTGTGCATTTCTTGCGGGCTCAAGCCGCCATTTTGAATTTTGCTCTCTAATACAAATGCATTTTATTTTTCAGCTAAGGGTTGTCTGGAGGTTGTGAGTTTGTCCCGGAAAGCGGTTCTTGTTCTTGGAGAAATTTGCATGTGGAACGTTTTGAGATTGACGGTGATATTTTGTTTGAATTAATCACTGTGCTTATTTGTTTTTGGTTTTTTTTCTCTTTCTTATATCGAAGCAGCATTTTCTTTTTTCCCCCTTTTTTAATAAACGCTGCATTTTTTTCAACGGCTTCTGTTAAATGAAGTCATAGAATCTCCCACTTACGGTACATTTCAGTGTAAAATTATGCTAAAACCCCATAGCTTTGGTTTTTTTCTAACTGTTCCCTCTTGTTATGCTGCTTTTGTATATTGTAATCCTCTTTTGTTTATTCCATGCTTCCTTTGAAGCAGCTCCACCCATTTCCATATTGATCAGTCCAGTGAATTTGTTGTATATCCCAGGGCTCGCACCCGCCTTTACCCAGAACCCCCTCAATATGTTTTACGTTTTAAGACAATGTCATTTATTCTTATTGTGACGAAACTCCCTTTGCAGTTGAAAGTTTCTCTGTGTATCCATTGGATTACAAAGCATGGTTGTTGCAACAAAACCAAAGGCTTTAAAGGTGGTCACCGTCACTCACTGCTTAATCCAGTGCTTCCCCTGCTGTTTTCCGAATCACGGTACCTGGCTGAAATTAAGTCGCCAGACCAAAGTGCTCATTCGCCTGCATGCAGAACCACTGATTATTACGGTACAACAGACTTGTGTTATTAATGTTCTCAGAATTCAATTTCAGCAATACAAATGAACACCTTTGAGTAAATATTCACAGACATTTTTGGAAGACGATATTGAAAAAAGCAAAGAAATTGCAGAAAAATTCAGTAATAGAAAAGCTTTATAGTGGTACGGGATGCACTGTCACCTTATTCAGTTGAGAGATACTGACTCATTCAGTCTGACAGTGATAGAAGTATGATGACATCAGCACACGAGAAGGCTGCAGAGATCACGCGTGCCAGAAGCTGTCCATGACAGTCGGGGGCCGTACACGGGCGGTAGTCCCCTTTCTGGCCGGGTTACCCGCGCTGGACGAGAGACACGTGTACCTAGTGCCGTGATAGGAGCCACTGTACACAGGCCCGCCATCGCAATCAGCAAAGCTTTTGTCTGTCGCGGCCGACCTTGAGACCCTTCGTAACCCATGATTTCATTTTTTTTTTTTCGTGCCACCAAAACTTTCATCCCACCCAGGTGCCCTCCAGATCGAGCAGAGCGAAGAGTCCGACCAGGGGAAGTACGAGTGCGTGGCCACCAATAGTGATGGCACCCGCTATTCTGCTCCGGCCAACCTATATGTCAGAGGTAGGGGACAAAGAGGAATGCGCCCTGAGCACTGAGGGGGAATCTTCAATTGTAAATCTCACCCAAGTGGTGCTCTGTGTTGTAATGTCTAAAAGATCTGAATGAAATGGAATAACAATGATGTATTTGAGCCCAAAGCACTCTGCCTCATTTGGGTTCGTAAGTATGGCGTGTTCTCACTTACTGCCTTCTTACTTTGATTCAGATTTGTGTTTTCTGTTTGAGTTCCTGTTTGCTTTTGATTTTTGGCCCGGTTTTCCTGATGCCTTTCCTAACTGGAATGACCCAGTTGCTTGGTGTGTGACTAATTGCCTCTTCCAACTGGATTAGCGAGGGCTTGGTGGACCACCCCGGTCGCCAGACCCCTGCTCACCTCGCAACGAAACACATTTTCACTGCTCTCTCGATGCCTGTTCCTCTTTTTCTGCGGAGCTTTAGAACAGCGTCTTCCTTCAGTATCTTTGTTAAAGAACGTTCCTTAAAGGCCCAAAATTCTTCAAAATAGGCTACAGGCAGATATTCAAACTTGATGTCATTGAAAATATATTGCAGTTAGCACAGTAGCTAATTAGTATGCAAAAGATAATTATTTACATTGTATTATTATTATTGTTGTTGTTATTATTATTATTATTATTCAAATATCTTAATCTTTATCTCCATGCTAAAGACATGAGGAACTCCACCGAGTCTTTAAAAAGTCACAGCCTATTACTGAAAATTAGTAATGTAATTTTAGCATGAAATGGTAGTAATATAATTTAAGTATGAAATGATAAACTTCTAGTTCCTGATAGCAGGAGCTATGAAAATTATGAGTGTTAAGCCTGAACATAACGACCCTATAAGATATGACATTGTCCCAGTCAGAGAATCTGTGGTGTGCCTTGTCGAGGGAATGATGTAAGGACAGCCGCATATTCTAACCCTGTGGTTTGTTCTTACCTTTTAATACCAAACTCCTTCATCCATTAATTATTCTTTTAGCATTATTTAGGTAGAACTGGGTTTCTTATTAAAAATTAAGAATAAACCATAGCTAGAAGATTTTAATATGCTCTGTCACTTCCCCTGCAGCTGTTGATTTGGGACGATGTAATACCTTATAGATTATTGCCTACACATTTTCCATGAGGTTAATAGATATGATTTATTTTCTGCCCTGTAATGTTTAAAATTTAAGATCGTTTATCAGATATTTGATTCTGCCAGAAATTAATGGGAGATGCAGCTTTCTGTCAGGTGACTGGAGGGCTTCGAAGAGAACTAGCAGAGATGTTTCAAGCAGCTGTTTAACGCCTTGATATGGCCTTTTTACTCTCTGTGTTTCCTTTGTTTTTCTCCTTTCCTCATTTCATTGTGTTCTGCATCAATCCCCTACTTCCCCAGAGCTGCGAGAAGGTTGGTGTGTTTTTACTTTTTAACCTTACTGAAAAAAAGAACAGCCACAACAGCAGAAGCAGCTACGAGAAAAGAGACAAATTCTAAAGACACAATTAGCCAGAGAATACAAATGAAATGAATGTAGCTGCATCACGTGCCTGTTTCGTTTCGGTGTCTTTGTTTTTGTTATTGATAGTCCTCTTCTTTGGTCCGGTCGCTGTCCTGCCCTCCGTTGAGAATGCCCTGGTCGTGTGCATGTCAGGAGAGAATGCGCATTTCGGCTGCATGTCGACCTGTTTATGCTCGAGCCGTTTAAACCTTCCTCTGCCAATCTCCCCCGCCCGCCCCTACCCCCACCCACCCTGCCCCGCCCCTTTGCGTGTTGTCAGCTTCTCAGTGTTCTTGCTTGGTTACTCATGTTGCTATAGCAACGGGAGGGTAAAGGGATGCTTCGCCAGGCCTCTGAGTGCAAGCATGCAGCGCCCCCTGCAATCCCACAGTCTGCTAGCGCCTGGTCATATGTCACGTGATCCAAGGAAACTCTCATTTTCCACGTTTCATTCATTTTGTTATTATTATTATTACTCATTTTGCCAATGGATGTATTTATAAACCGTCATTCATCCCGCTTATATTTTTAGAGTCAGTGCTCTGTAAAGAGACCACATATTTTTTACTGATTATTAGACAAGAAAAAGCTATTAATAATGGTTTATTAACGAAAGACCATAATACTATCTTTGAAAAAATCTGAGTACACGTTATCAGATTTTATTTAGTGATTCATACATTACATTTTAATTTTTTATTTAAAATATTTTAACTCGTACCTCAGACGTACAAGCAGAATAAATGGATTAGATGAGGTGAATATTTATGTTGTTCTCCCCATATTTGAGATATATGCTTCCTTTTAAAAGGAGATAGATGTCAGAGGTCCTGTTTATATGCTGCATGACCTTTGCGGTGTACTGTACACACTGCTGAGCTGTTCTCATTTACATTCAGTAGATGCTGAAAGGGTTTTAAACTCTTAAACGTTTACATGCGATACACTGTGCATAACTAAGATATACATTTTGATCCCTACAAGCAGTAACACATCTGTAAAGTCTTTTAAATTCCCCCGATTCTCAAGGGACTCACTGGTACCATCATCAGCCACCTCTGAGTGCCATGTCTGTCTGTCCACGCTGAACGGCCGCTTTCTGTCGTGTCTTCGGTTGTGTTTTGTCTTTTGCTACCAACTGCCCCCCCCGCCCCCGCCCCTCCCGCTTCTGCGGCTTCTAACCTCGCCTACCCTCCCCACCACATCCCCCGCTCTGCTCCACCGCTGTCTTACGACTTGGTGCTCGCGACAGTCGGCTAACTCCCACTTTGTGCCATCTGTTATTTTGGTTTCATTGTCCTTCTTGTGTTACTATCTGTTGGGTCCCTCCCCAGTCTTTCTCCCTCCAATCCTCAGCATGGTTGCCTTCCAAAGCCAGCCATGTGCTTGCGTGCATGATGAAGGCCCACGCTCCAGACCCGAGCCGGTCTGGTCCCGTTTTACTCTCCGTGTGCATAAACTGTCTCCAGTTCCTCGATTGCGTTACCCGTATCGTCTCTTTCAGTTGGTTTAACCCTTTATTTGAGTGTCAGTGTAAGGTACGTCTTTTTGAGGCTGCATCCACTTTTTGATTGAGTTTTTTGGCAATCGAATCACAAGTTATCCATACGCCGTAGCTGGACATGTCCCGCCAGGGACTACTGTGTGTGTGATGTGACAATGTGGACCTTGCACATTACTTCACATCAACTGGAAGTACGCAGCATCGAAGTTGGTCCCCACACACAACTCAAGCATGCTGTCGATCCTCCAGTACCTGCTCCCGTGCTACTCTCGATATCTGTACTCTTGGTATACCTTTGTGCATGGTGTTTGTGTATTGTTGGTCTGTACACAGCCCACTGTCAAGCCCTGTTAGGGTGAAAGTCAACATGTGTGTCCAGCTGTTATTACGATCCATCCACCTAAGTGTATTCAAAGATATAGATATTTGTTCAAATATATTAAGTGAGAAATAATCTGAAAAAAGTACAACTGCTCAATGATTTGATCTTTTCTTCTCCTTGGTAGAGCAGACCTCTACCCCCATCTTGGTGTGCGTTGTTACCCCTGGCTGTGCTCTCTTCCAGTTCGGCGAGTTCCCCCGAGGTTCTCCATCCCTCCGACAGACAATGAGATCATGCCAGGAGGCAGCGTGAACATCACCTGTGTGGCCGTGGGTTCCCCTATGCCCTATGTCAAATGGATGCTGGGCGCTGAGGACCTGACCCCGGAGGACGACATGCCGATCGGACGCAACGTTCTGGAGCTGACAGACGTCCGTCAGTCCGCTAACTACACCTGCGTGGCCATGTCTACCCTGGGAGTCATTGAGGCTGTGGCTCAGATCACCGTCAAAGGTTCCAGCCCGCCGCTTCTTAAGACAATTCCTGTTTTGGGTATCTGGAAACCATATAACGTGTAACAACAATAAATAAGAACATAGGACGTAAGATATAGGTATTAATTTATACAGCGTATACCATAACCATGCAAAGTAGGGCTGTTTATGTTGATATACAGCCATGGAAAAAATTAAGAGACCACTCCATTTTTTTACACAAATCTGCATTTTTATATCCAGCTGGCAGAAAGATACACTGAGCAGCAGGAAAAGAACGTGGTAGGAGTTTGCAAAAAAATATATATATATTATTGTCAGACGCACACCCATAAATTGAGAAATGAGTAAAACAAAAAAGTATTCCGTGGTCTCTTCATTTTTTCCACGGCTAGATATGGACACGACATCAGAGTACATTAAATTTAACGATTGAATTAGGGGATCTTGCTGATACAAGTTGCCGTGAACCAGACTCGTGGCTTTACTCACAGACACAGCAAAGAAAAAACAGACGCAGCACGAGCAAAGCTGTAGTGCAGCTTCCCACAGTTTCCCTCTGGAGGTGCCACTTGAGGAAAACAAATAGCCTCCGGGGTCTCGAGTTTTGCATGCCGTCGCTTTGCATATTAAAACAATGAGTTATTGTATGTTATTTGGGCTAAGCAACAAAGAATTGGTACAAGAAAATGACTTTGACCATGGCACCTTTCAAGGTCATCACTTGACCTGTATCATTTGTAGTGCTGTTTTCTGGAATGAGGGGTACAGTTGATGGACGTGTGGCAGCCGTGATCTGTGTCCTTCAGCTAACTTCTCTTGGGAAACAAATGTGCATAGCACATGAATTCTAATCCTTGTGTTACCATGCAGGCTGTAGAAAGGGGGTGGTCTTTCTGGCCACTCTCTCCACCAGCTCTACTTACTCTCCCTAACAAGCCTGTTTGTTGCCACTCCTTCCCCAGCCTTGCCGAAGCCCCCGGGAATGCCCGTGGTGACAGAGCGGACGGCCACCAGCATTACCTTGACGTGGGATTCCGGAAACCCCGAGCCTGTGTCCTACTACATCATCCAGCACCGCTCCAAGCTGTCCGAGGACACGTACAAGGAGATCGACGGTGTGGCCACCACCCGCTACAGCGTGGGAGGCCTCAGCCCCTACTCGGACTATGAGTTCCGCGTGGTGGCGGTGAACAATATCGGGCGTGGCCCGCCTAGCGAGCCAATCGAGGCCCGGACGGCGGAGCAGGCGCCCAGCACGGCACCCAGGCAGGTTCGAGGCCGAATGCTGAGCAGCACCACGGCCATCATCCACTGGGACGAGCCGGAGGAGGCCAATGGACAGATAATGGGGTACCGGGTCTACTATACCACAGAGCCTACTCTGCACGTCAACTACTGGGAGAAGCAGATGGTGCGCGGAGCAAACTTCCTCACCGTCCAGGGGCTTACCCCCAACAAGACGTACTACATCAGGGTGCTGGCCTTTACCTCTGTAGGAGATGGACCTTTATCTCCAGACCTGCAGATTGTGGCTAAAACCGGGGGTGAGTATACTTGTTGCTTGATAGGACTGTGACCCATCTGTCCATATGAATCAGCGTGATTGAGCAAATATGGGTGCATGTTTGAACCAATCATAGAGGAACAACTTCGGAAGCACATTAAGATGTTGCCTATAATGTTTTATTGAAACCTTCATCATCATAATAATAATTATAATAATGTTTTATTTATATAGCACCTTTCATACACTCAAGGACAATTTACAATTCAACAAAAAACACATTTAACAAGACAGTACAAATACAAGAAGACAAATAATATCCTTCGAAGAGGTGTTTTTTAACAGGAGCTTGAAATGGATAATAGATTTTTCCTCATGAAGACTGAGAGGAAGAGCATTCCAAATTTTAGGGGCTATTACACTAAAATCTCTGCCCCCCATAGTTGATAACCTGCGCTTAGGTAGAGTAAGTAAGTTAGCATCCAATGATCGTAGTACGTGGGCTGGAGTGTAAGGAAGCAGAAGCTCAGACAGATAGTTAGGGGCTAAACCATGCAGGGCTTTATAGGTGATGAGTAACATTTTATATTTGATTCTTGAAGAAACTGGCATAGAGGACAGGAGTGATCTGAGCAGACTTTTTGGTGTATTAGTAAACGAGCAGCAGATTTCTGAACATACCATAATGTATTGATATATTTAGTAGGGAGACCATAAAATAATGCATGACAATAGTCCAGACGTGTAGAAATGAGAGCATGACTTAATGTTTCAGTATCTTTCATACTGAGTAAAGAGTTCAGATGAGCAATGATACGGAGATGAAAAATTGCTGTCTGTACTATTGAGCTGATGTGTGGTTGGAAGGTAAGAAGCTGATCGATGATGAAACCCAAATTATGGGCTGATGCTGAATGTTCCACCAGGATCCCATCAAGATCAATTTTTAGCCCACGAAGGGTAGAGAGAACAGGTTTAGTAACAACCAATATGATTTCTGTTTTATCAGATTAAGTCATAAACAAATCAAACACAAAATGTTTGATTTCACAAAGATAATCAGTCAGTAAGACTGGCGATGAAGATGCAGTTCGATCAATGCTTATATGCAGCTGTGTGTCCTCAGCATAGCAGTGGAAGCTGAGACCAGACTGACATATAATTGCACCTAATGGGAGCGTGCAGATGTTGAAGAGAATTGGACCTAGAACTGACCCTTGAGGGACACCTTGTATTAGTGAAGCAGTTTCAGATTTATGTTCCCTAATGAGGACGTAATACTGACGATCACTGAGGTACGATATGAACCAAGCAAGAACAGCACCTGAGATACCAATACCTGAAAGTTGGGACTGTAAAATATTACAGTTAACTTTATCAAATGCTGCACTTAAGTCAAGGAGAGCTGGAATAGTGGCCGTCCCAGAGTCTGCGGTCTTAAGTGTCATCGGTTACCTTAAGCAAAGCAGTTTCAGTGCTGTGTTTCTGAATCTAGATTGGAAGGGTTTAAGCAGGTGATGCAAGTTTAAATAATCATTGAGTTGAGTACCTATGCATCACAATAGTCTGTATAAGAATTAATAAAGCATTACAGCATCTTCTATCAATAAGGCATTATAGAGTTGATTATAATAATTCATAAGCTGCAATGAAGCTTTCATCTATAATGCACTATACATACCTTCATAATGCTTTACAATGGTTGGTATTTGAATTAAGGATGGTTTGTATTGCATTATGAAGGTATCTATGTTGCAGTAATAATGAGGGCTTCATAAAGCATTCATTATGCATAATAAACATGATGATGCTGTGTGTTATACCTATTTATAAACATTTATAGTCATGTTTACAATGCTTTATGAATGCATTATCATTTGTTATGAATGTGTTCATAGATTCTTATAGACATGGAATTCATACAAAATGTTAACAAAAAGGATGCAAATCTGTCAAACACATAGTGATCAACTCCAGCTTTTCACAGCTTGGTTGACAAGTCAGTTATTCAACAACAACAACAACAACATTGTTGTTGGACTGAGATTATGTCATGGGTATGTTGAGTTTCCACAATGTCGGTATTTTTTGGTGGCTATATTGTTTGTCATTTATGTTATCCTTTGTCATCGCAATAATTCTGTAATGGCCATAAACGCAATTACCTATCCAAGAAAAGGGCTTCATGCATTGTAACAGAGTATACAGCTAAGTCCTTTTCTCTCTTGATGCCTCAGTTAGGTAGTGTTTCTGTCCATTAGCTGTTCAACTAAGATTGTTTATCACATCTCCGCACATCTTCTTTTTCCTGTTTGTTTACCCTTCGCATATTTAGAATGAGAGTGCTTTTAAAGTACGTTTGCACTTAGAGCCATCATTGTACGATTTACAATCCGTTGTGGTTTCCCTGCATCTTCCATCAATACAAATGGGACAAATGTAAAGACACTGATATAACAGTGAGAGCCAGGGGACCTCCTCAGCTGCCACTGTCTTTCTTTTGATAGAACACGTTTTTATATTGCGCAACAGATAACCGTACCATCTGTCTTTAAGACCTTGAACAGCAGTCTCTATGGAGATTACCGAGCCACCAATCAGCTTTGAGCTTTCATGCCTGCAAGTGAATGGATTCATTTGAATTAAAAATTTATCCATCCATTTATTTTCTAATCACTTATCCTGGCCAGGGTCACCGGATGAATTAAAAGTTTTGAATGTAAATGTTTGGTTTGTGAATTCCTTTAAAGAATGTCTGTTATTGTTTGGCTTGATGATGGGATGATGATGATGATGATTATTGTTGTTGCTGATTTTGTAAAAGGTCATTGGTCATTGATGGTGTGATTTAATCTGATGTTTTATGAATTTTTATGTTTTAAACTCTGTTTCCAGTTCCATCTCAGCCTACTGACTTCAAAGCGGAAGCCAAATCCGAAACTAGTATCCTGTTGTCATGGATACCGCCAACACAGAATGGTCAAGACAATCAAATTATTGGATATGAACTTATTTACAAGAAAGGAGATGATAAAGAGGAGGTAACTACCCATATTTCAGTTACTCATATCATTTAATTTTCCCAGCTGTTGGACAAAGTCAGCTGCTTGAGTGCTTCAAACAATGGGTGATCTGTTAGTGCGGAAGGTTCTGGAAAGTGCCATACAGGCACGATGTAATCGATGACTGATCTGCGACCCGTTTTTAACTTTCAGAAACGCATCAGCTTTGAGCCCACCATCACCTATCTGCTTAAGGACCTGAAGCCTTTCTCCACGTACACCTTCCTGCTTGCTGCTCGCAGTAAGCTAGGCATAGGCGCATACACCAATGAGATCTCTGCCGAGACTCCCCAAACACGTAGGTCTCCTTCCTTCCCTTTGTGTTGTGTGTTCTGTTTTTACCTCCAATCACAAAAGAAAAAGAATGTTCCGTTTTCAGATTTTTTTTTTAGCAACATTCACCACATGGTTCTCATATTCTGATAAGCCAGAGGTGGATCGTTCAGGTCCAGAAAGTAAAACTCTAGACTAAGATTTTGTTTCATCCAACCAGTTAAGTCAAGAGTACAGGTGGTTGGTTGAAACAAAATTTTGATCTGGATTTTTACTTTCTGGTCCTGAACGATCCATTTCTGTGATCAGCAAACATTTGGATATTTGTTCTTACAGAAGTTCCAAAGTATGGTTACAAGAAGAATGTCCACTTTGAAAACGGAACTATTCGATAGGCCAGATCTGCTATTTTGCATAATCTTTATGCACAACAGTAGTATGCATAAACCTGACCTGAGCACGCATCCCTGCAGTGTGAAAGGATTGCGTGGACAGGGCTTCCAGTGGTCTACCTTTGAAGTCAACGGACAAGGTTATGCAGTTTACAGGAATAGTTCTTACGCTGCACCTTTGAAGTTTAAGGTTTGATAATGCAACCCAATAAGCTCAAGAAAAAAAGCTTGAATTATTCATTTGAACTTCTAAAGTTATTCAGTCGCATCTCATTTGAACAGAAAAGTGTGTTCACACAATATGGGACAACTTGTCTGTTGACATTCAAGGGCTGTTCCTATATTCATTTGAATGCTGTGATTGAGTTTTCGAAGAACATTAGAAAACATAAATAGATTCTGTAGGGGTCATTGAGCCTCTCCCCACAGTATTATCAAGGGTCTTTTTCCTCGACATCATGTAAAGGAGATGGTCTTTGTTCAAGCCAGAAAGCTCAAACACAAGCATCATTCAAGACAGAGCAGTGTCGGAGTTTGGTCTTGATGCCGACCTCAGATTTATTCCATTAAAAAACCAATTGTTTTTGCTAATGAAAAATTCAAGCATGCAAACTTGATTCGGTCATACGCTCAAGGACAACTTTCAAATGCGGCATTAACCGTATGGGGGAATGGCTCTGCTTACACTTTATAAACCTGAGGTCTGAGAAAAGAATTATATAGACGAGAGGTAGGTATGAAACCAGTCCCAAGCAATGTGAAAAAAAGGTAATCCAGAGAGCATTTTGCATGTCAGTATGTGAAGAAACCTTTGAAAAATTAGTCCTGTGTTTTTCAAATACTTATTGTTGTGCACTGTGATCAGGCTTTTACCTCAAACCAACAGGCTTCGGAAAGGTTGGTGAGCAAAACAACATTTTACACTTTGATAAATATGACACATCAACCTTTATTTTTTGGATTGATGGTAATTGCTTGTAAATGTTCAGGGAAAAGAAAGTATGCGAGTTACACTTCTGGAATTTTACATTATTGTATACTTTGTGTCTTTTAAATAGAATAAAATAAACAAAGTGATTGAAGCAAAACTGCTCATGTATTTAGGCACTGAGAATGGAAAGCGTTTGTGTGTATAAAATTAAACATAGGGTTTTAGCAGATGCATATATTGCAGTTTAAACAACAAAGGTAGGTTGTATGTTGTAAAGGTGTCATTTTACCACATCCCTTTGCATTCCATTACTGCGTTGTGCTTGTTGTTTTTTTTTTTCAGTTGAACCACATTTCCAGGAAAATCTTTCTTTTATTTTGTCACCTCATAACGATGAACCTTATTGATTTTACGTTCCATTTGTTTGCAAGCATTTTTGTCCTTATATTTCATTTTCATTTTATGTTCTTTTTTCTTTATTTGTTTTTATCATCATCCAAAAACCCTGTGTCACTTCAACCTGCCTCCGAAACCTCTCTACGAAACGAACAAAACAAACCAAACGAATGAAATCATTTCAACGAAAATCCCGCCCCCCGCTGCAATACCCTCCAATCAGTGCCCTCAGCACCTCCCCAAGATGTTAAATGCTCTAGCCCCAGTTCCACCAGCATCCTGGTAAGTTGGAGACCGCCACCAGTGGCGTTACAGAACGGAATTATAACCAAGTACTCCATCAAGTACGCCGCCGTGGAAGGAGAGGACACATCCACCCGCCAAATCTCGGACGTGCCTCCCGAAAGCTCTCAGTATCTCTTGGAGAACTTGGAAAAATGGACTGAGTACCGCGTGACCGTGAGTGCCCACACGGACGTCGGCCCAGGCCCTGAAAGTTTACCGCAGCTCACCCGCACCGACGAGGATGGTACGTCCCGCCAGCTGCTGCTACTGACTGTTACCTGTTGTGGCCCCTGGAGCTTCAGCCTCTAACACCTCCTTGCCTGCGCCTGTCCAAACCCCCCCTACTTTTTCCCGCTTTTAACTTCTCCCAACTTGTGATGCTGTTTTTTTTCGCTCCTTTTGAGCCCAGATTACTAACCTGGACCCCTCCTCCTTTTGAGCTTTTTTTTTTATATTTGATTTTGACTCTTTGGCGACGTTTTAAAGCTTTTTCCCCCCCGTATCTGATTCCTAACAAGTAAAAATGTGATGTTTTAAAGATTTTTTTTTCTTTTTTTTTTTTTTGGCGTTGAGACGCTATTGGCCTTTTTCCTCTCATCGCTCCCAACTGTCATTGTCGAATATCAATTTTTTAAAACAAAAAAATGTGAATCACGGAATATTTCTTTTATTTTTATGAACTCAGGCAAGGCCCTGTCAGACAGTGGGACATACACGGAAAGCTAGCTGTTTTTGGGCCACGGCTAACATTTTTTTCTTTTCAATTTTTTTTTATTTTATTTTTTCAAACAGTTCATGGCCAAATTCTTTCTGGATGCTTCAGCCACTGAAGCATCTATTTTGGCTCTTTCTTGTTTTTAATTTTTTTTGTTTTTTAACAGTTACATTTTATATTCCATATTTTGAATCCACAACTTCCATTTTTTAATGTCTTTCAGAACGTTAGGTCAGATGCTTATCGGGGTTTTTTTTTCTCCTTGCCATCATTGAAATATTGATGTCGTTCAATACTTGTGATACTGCCCTTTGAATCCTTTTTTCCGTTTTTCTTTTCCAAACTCGACTCTCCGGAGTTGGCCTGGAGGAGGTGGTCACTGTGATCTTGACCTTTTGTTTTATCCCATGGTGTTCTTCCAGTTCCCAGTGGTCCCCCTCGCAAAGTCGAGGTGGAGGCCGTCAACTCCTCGTCCATTAAAGTGGTCTGGCGTTCGCCGGTGCCCAACAGGCAACACGGCCAGATCCGAGGCTACCAAGTCCATTACGTCAAGATGTTAAACGCAGAACCCATTGGACAGCCGCTCATCAAGGACATCCTGATCGACGACGCTCAGGTAATCTTTTGTGAAAGGTGCTATATAAAAATGAATTGAATTGAATTGAATTGAATTGAATTGAATTGAATTGTAATCAGCTGCCTCCCTCTGCTCTTTGATCGTCTTGATTTCCCTTATCTACCATCATTCAAAGAATGCCAGGAACCCATTAATTGTTGTACTAGCTAAGATACAAATATTTTTAATTTCCTTGATTTTTAGCACTTCCTGCTTCTCTACTCAGTTGTTGACACAGCCTGATAAATGTGGAAACCTAAGAATAAATTGAGTTATAATGACTCATGAGTATTAAAACCTGTTGAAATAACTAGTAAGATATAGATTCTGACCTAGCCACATTGCAAAATGAGACTTACAATTTTAAATTACTCTTTTAAAAAGAATCTGCTGTTGAGATATGTCCTAAAGTTTGCAAATACTCCATCCCACTTTGTCCAATATATCAATCTTGTAGGTTTGGTCGCACTCGGCTAAACCCGCATGTAGAGCTGTTTTGTGTGTCTGTACGTCACAGCCAAACGGCCCCCCGCCCTTTATTTTCAAACTGTGTAGTTTGACTTTCCTTAGACCTGTTTTCTCTCCTTTCTGTCCACGTCTTCATCGTAATCAGTGGGAGTATGATGATCCAGTTGAACATGTGAGTAAATAAACCTCGTACTTCCGGACGACTGTAATAGCTGTTCGACTGCACTGTATAACTATGCATGGTGAATCTTCTCAAGTATAAGTTAAAATGTTTTGCTTCTTTTATAGTGGCTTATATTTTATTTTACCCATTTATCCCTCGATCTGTCTTCTACCCCCATGTCCTGGTCAGGACTGCTGGGGGAGGGGCTTCTGCTTCATTCATACTTCCGCTTGCTTGTTTTGGACTTTTCAGTCATCAATTCTGATACTTTGGTTAATTAACGGTTGACTAACATATTAGCTTCCTTTTCAATAATACATTAAAGAAAAGACATCCCAGTAGTTTAAAAGCATTTTTATTGCTATTAAATGCGTGGATTCGGCACGTTACTGTAGCGATTACACATCCAAGGCTACGGCACTATAATTATTTAAAAACATTTCAGTGTGACACCGTGACATAAAATGTAAGTCGGTGTTGGGTTGGATGTTGTAGCCTTTGGATTGGAATGAATGGCCTCACTGTTAAGCCAGTTGACATTACGCTCGAGTCGCTTGTTTGAAGTGAGGTCATGTGGCCAGCCACTGTCCCCTCTGATCTCATTGGCTGATGCAATGAGCCCTATAAGCGGTTTTTAAAAATAATTCTGCCAATTACTCACTTTTGAGGGATTTTTCTCTAACTCCTCTGTGATCTAACACCATTCCTGTCTTTTAAGTATGCAAAAGCCTGCAGCGGGAAATAGTAGCAGTCTTATGAAAGCACCCAATATATTCTCAGATGCTCATTTTTTTTGACATGGGATTGCTTTTCTACATCTGTTATTGAAAGATTTCATTTTCCCTCCAGTTCACGTGGCGAGACGGGGGTCTGGGTGGGAAAGTTCTCCATTCTTCTCTCGACATGGTTCAGTGAAGAACCTCTGTTTGCGGTTCTGTCTGCAGGAGATGGTCCTTACGGACCTACAGGCTGAAACAACATACTCTGTTGCCGTGGCGGCGTACACCACGAAAGGAGACGGCGCACGCAGCAAGCCGAAGTTGGTGTCCACGACCGGCGCTGGTAAACTCATTACCCGTTATTCACTGTCGTACTGAGCTGTGGCATATGTTTCCGATCACCAGAAATGCAGCGCGGCGATTTGTAAACGCGTGAAATTGCATGTACTGCAACACAAAGCAGACCTTTGCCCCAGAGCCATTAGATGTGAAAACTCCTAATTGCTTGCCTGCTTAGGAGAGCCATTATAATTCTGCCTGCCTACCAGCTTGACTGGACTGCGTGCCTGGATTGAATACCTCATGAAGGAGGTATTTGTGTGTAAATCAGGTGGAATGGTATTATTTTCCTTTTGTCTTTAAACACCTAAATTGTATATGATAATTTATATGACTATCCATATTTTATAATACATATAAATATTATATCTGGTGCCTCATTCCAAGTCAGGTCACGCGAGAGGAGCTATAAGATAACGGGTCTCCAGGAAGGCCATTTGTTGTGTTTAGAGTGACCACCTAATCCATGTCAGGGAGGACTCTATGAGCTACTTCAGGTTTTACAAACTACTTTCAAACTGAAAGGCTCCTGTGCTCGGCTAAATAGTTCAGATCTTCTCGTGCTTTGACTAGTTTGTTTTCTTGATGCTTGTTTCCTTAAGAGGCTCCGCTAAAATGGAATCAAGCATAAGTCACGTATGCGCTGAGGCTCTGCGTTAATGGCTATTTGTGGAGTTTCCCCTGGAATGTTGCGACCTCTTCCCTTCCAGTTCCAGAGAAGCCGAAGCTCATGGTGAGCCCAACCAACATGGGCACGGCCCTCCTCCAGTGGCACCCACCGACGCTGACGCATGGCCCCCTGCAGGGCTACCGGCTGCGCTTCGGCCGCAAGGACGTCGAGCCGCTCACGGTCATCGAGTTCCCCGAGAGGGAGAACCACTACACTACCAGGGAGATCCACAAAGGCGCGTCTTACACCTTCCGCCTGTCTGCCCGCAACAAAGTTGGCTTCGGCGAAGAGACGGTGAAGGAGATCTCCACACCGGAGGACCTGCCCAACGGGTACCCTCGGGGCATCAGGACTGAAAGCACCACAGCCACCACCATCCAGGTTAGCTGGGTGCCACTGGAGCTCAGCGAGAGAAATGGCAACATCGTCAAGTACGCCCTGCAGTACAAAGACATCAACAGCCCCAGGAGCCCCACAGAGCTCTTCATCACCGCCCCAGAGTCCACCATCACCTTGGATGGCCTGAAGGCCGATACCACATACGATATCAAAATGTGCGCGTTCACCAGCAAGGGCCCCGGTCCCTATAGCCCCAGTGTCCAGTTCAGGACACAGCCTCTGGATCTAGGTAGGAGCTCCTCCCTCCAAGCGATCTCAGCGAATCACCTAGGTTTGGAGGTGGGGCTTTCATCTTTGTGTGTATGTAGCTGCAGTCACAGTTAATAAGGTACAGTATTTATGTAGCCATCGCCCCAATCTGGCCACAGGGTGTAAACGCGAGGTGAGTAAAGAGGGTCGCTGCCTGGAAACAGGTAAGGTAAACGGTGGGACGCAGCCTCTTAAAGTGACAGTACCTTAAGCTTCTGATGGCCAGGTACGTACTGTAAGCTTCCCTCGTGCTTTCCAGAAGGCAGGGGCCGCACGGACGCGGCGTTTTCGCGGGGGTTTCTGTGATGTATCTAAATCATCTGCGTTGCCTTTTTTTAGCAGTGTTTGCAAAAAATTTTCACGTGAAAGCTGCCATGAAGACGTCGGTACTGCTAACATGGGAGATTCCGGAAAGCTACAATCCCGCCCAGCCCTTCACCGTAAGCGTGTTTCCATGGCCAAGCAGGCGTCTAATTCTGTATGATTCTGTATGATTATTCGATCCATCCATCATCCGACAACTAAATATAACTACAGTAACGTACAGGATCATGGAGAAATATTCTTACATCTGATGTTCAATGTTTTAGCTACATTGTCTCATTATTGCATGACATGTAGACCAAATATTATTAGTGTGTTAAATATCGTCTGGTCGCCTACACATTTTAATTCAACGGTTAGGAGAGGAATTCGGCAGTGACAGAATCTGTATGCCGTGTATATTCCGTGTTGAGCACATGCAAATTATATTTAAAAGTATGGAGATCTCAACATGCGTTCCATTAATTGGGTGTGACATGACAAAATTATCTATATTAGATGGCGATATGCTCTAGGGGAAAAACACCTTATATTTTGTAATTTAATGCTTTCAGATTTTATTTGTAACGTAAGAGATGCGGTGTATATGCTGATACAGTTTTCTGCGAAGCATTTGGAGCGAATGTATAACAATGATTCGATGCAACTTTTATTGTTGTATGATGATCCAGGAAGACACTTGTAGATAAAAAAATAAATGTGTAAGCGTAACCATGCGTGCAAAGCGGGTAAAGCTAATGTTGATGAAGCCGTCTTGACGTGTCCGCAGATCCTGTATGACAACGGGCAGAGCGTGGAGGTGGACGGCAAGCTGACCCAGAAGCTCATCACCAACCTGCAGCCCGAGACACAGTACTCCTTCCTGCTGACGAACCGCGGGAACAGTGCCGGCGGGCTGCAGCACCGCGTGTCCACCATGACGGCGCCGGACGTGCTGCGCACCAAGCCCTACCTGGTCAGCAAGACCAACTCGGACGGCATGGTGACGGTGGAGCTACCATCGGTGCAGACCACCGAGAAAGTCAGGTGAGGGGGGTGGGGCGGGGCCCACGGACATCATACAGACGCGCAAGAGGATACAAGTCAGTTCTCAAACGATTTTCTGTAATTGTCATAATGACGTTGGGTTTCCGAAGGAGAGGATACAGACTCCATACACTGAGCAGAGGCAAGAATCAAACCCCGGCATTGAATGCATGTACTGTAGCAACAGTGCTACCTACTGTCTATTACTTTGATCAGAAGGTCATTGGCTCAAATCCCATCACTGGCAGAGTGATTTCGCCCTTGGGCCCTTGTCTGATTCTGCTGAATTGTACATCAATTTCCTGTATGTATCTACAGTGGAATAATCAGCATGACTATGTGTTACCTGTGAAAAGTTGACATTTTTTCACAGGTAACACATACTGATGCTGATTAGATACATACAGGAAATTGATGTACATACTACTGTGCGCAATTTCTACATTTTCTGATAATCTCTCCACCTGCTTGCATTCTTGAGTTTGCTTTGCAAGACTTTCCAACCGACCCCGGTTTCCCACTGAAGAAATCCACCATACACACAGCGTAATGGGTCGTTACAGTCGCCCACGGCCGGCAAACGTTGACCGAAGATGGTCTTTGAGTGCGAGCCACTGCTTCAAAACAGATTCTGGTTTGATCCCCGCAGCCGCCCCGGAGTGGCATGTTCGCGGCCCCCGCCAGGGGCCGGTCTAATTAGCTTCACATTACCTTGCAGTATTGACTCCGAGACCCAACCACCTGCACAGCACTCAGCCAGGGGTCCGAAGGCAGCTGGGGTCATTATCTTAATGTGGCTCAACACTCAGAAATGCCTTCCGTTTCATCTCACTTAGAGATGCCTAATTATCCTGGGTGGCCGTGGCGAGGTGTGACAGGCCTCTCAAGTCTGCTGATCACGCTTTAGTCATATCCAAACCCGAAGGGGAAGAAACCATTGTAATGAAATAAAAATCGGCAAGAATTTCCTTGCTCACTAAGTAGTCATATTTGTTATTTAGCTGTTTTCCAATGCCTGCGGTCTCCGGGCAAAAATCGGAGATGAAAAGCACTGGTAATAGCAAAATATTTTTTTTGCCAGTTAATCTAGGACAGGGATGTCAAAGTCCAGCCCTGTAGGGCCGCAGCCCTGTGTAGCTTAGTTCTTTCCCTGTTCCACCACAAATGATTTAGCTTATGAGCTGTGTGGTAATTAGCACAAGGAGCTGAATCAGGTGTGTTAAATGAAGGTAAACCAAAACCTGTGCATGGATCTGGCCCTCCAGGACTGGAGTTTGACACCTCTGATCTAGGACAATGTTTCTCTGAACCCAGTCCTCAGGGCCCCCCCAGACTGTCCACGTTTTTGGTCCCTCCCAGCTCCCAACACACCTGCGGCAGACATTCTCTGCCCTTGACTGGCTGAGAGCTGGGAGGGAGCAAAAACATGAACTGTTTCGGGGGATCTTCCCGCGGACCGGGCTGAGAAAATCTGGTCTAGAAGGTTTAGAAACACGGTTCTGTGCCTGGCACAGCACTGAGCTGGTGTTTCTGCATGTGCCCCCATCTGGTCCGTAGGGGATACTACATCGTGATGGTACCCCTGAAGAAGCAGCGCACTGGGAAGTTCCTCAAGCCCTGGGACAGCCCCGACGACATGAATCTGGATGAGGTACCCAGGCCGCCGGCTCTTTGTGTCCGCACCATGCATGGGGGGGCAGAGGGTGAATTCAGAGCTAAAGGAAGTAACCCCCGGATCAGCCTTGTGGAATGAGCGTGTTAATGGCCGGGGGAGCTGCACCTTCAGTTATACAGTCTCCCACACAACACTTAAAATTCCTGCACCACGAGGTACTTCATAGAGTTGAGGATCTCCCAGGAGATGCATCAGCTCCTGAGATGTTCTCCAGCGGCACCACACCTTTTCACCGGGTGCACTAGCATCCAGCTGTCTGTCCCTGCCCAGCACATTTCACGCAGAGTCTATGGTCACTGCCGCGGCAGACTTAGAGGCCAGTTAATCCACCGTCGACGCGGGGAGGAGAATTTTAATAAAGGACAACCCATGAAGCGTTAATCTGTGTAATGGTTTTGTTAGGGACGTCGCTTGAATTATTAATATCTGTCTCTGAAAGGTGTTCTTTGTTCAGCCTGACTTGTAATGCCCTCATGTTCCTGTAATAACAACACACACCAGTAGCACGGGTGATATTCGCAGGGATGTTAGCAAGATCCTGCAAGTCGAATGGTAGATATATCCGCTTTGTTGAGAAGATCTTTTGGACAAAACAGTGCCGTATTATTGTGTAATTACTAGTCTTTAGACTGTATCATCTACCACCCTGAGATGAATACCAAGGCTGCCTTCGGACTGCCATGAACCATTTCACACCGTTCTTCCCAGTGGAAGCCGTGCTGTATTTTGCCAGTTGTCGCAGAGAAGTCAAGCATGTCTTGGCTGGCCACTGCAGTATTACTTCCTGCAGCCTGTTAAGGAGTCTGCAGACTGCCTCTGGCTAGCAGAAAGAGTATTAATTCCCAGCAGTCAGTAGTACTCTTGTGTGACCTGCCTTGCGTAAAAAAAGCGATTATCCAGCAAGATATATATGGATGAAGTGCACTACCAGGCTAGGTTCCAGGCAGACTAGAGGTCAGGTTCACTGTGGACCCGGAGACACTCTGAGTCGGACGTTAAATTATTTATGACATATGTGCATTCTTACTAACATCCACACTTGTTTTCTTTCACACAAGCCGTGAATACCTCTGCCAGGGTTCCGTGCAGTTCTACACAGCTGAGAGCTGTGACCTTTCCTAACCCTGGAAAGTCCAGGTCCAGAAAGTGCAAATCCAGACCAAGATTTTGTTTCAACCAACCAGTATATAGAGTATGAGTATATAGAGTCACAGTCACAGATTACTCAACTGGTTGGTTGAAACAAAACCTTGGTCTGGAGTTGTACTTTCTGGACCTGGACTTTCCACCTCTGGCTGTCCTTCCCCTTCTGCGATGACAATGCTAGTATGTGTGTAGAGGAATCCATCTAGCTTTATAATGACCCACTTGCATCTGGCAGGTATTCGTGAAACTCAGCCATTCGATATCTTAGGCTGTTTCAGTTTTCTGAGAGTAGTAAGGCTCCGTGATGATGTTTTAGGGCGGTGAACGGCCAGTTAAGGTTAAAGTAGAAGCTCATCTTGACCTGGATCCATTTTTTGCTTAGTTTGCTGTATAAATACAACCAGGAACTAAGTTTATCTCATCTCACTTTCAAGAAAATGGGAGAAACGAACCACAAATATCCCTCAGTGTGTATGTGCAGTAGCGGGGAAGATGTTTTATGTGTTTCACCATGATTATGGCAATATCAGCCGACCGCAGAGGAAAGTTCAGACCTTTTTTGCCCTTTTAAGTGCAATGGAGGGTCAGACGGCAGCAGCAGGGCGAAATTGATTAAAATTACAGTCGCGGCAGTGTCACACTTGCCAAGTATACTCAGGGGTAAAAAAAAAAAGCACAAAGATGAGATAGCTGACATTCCTGATAACTGGAGAGTGTAACACATGGTGGGACTGGAGCGGGGGGGGGTGGTGGTTCTGTGCAGGAGGGCAGAGCCGTTCGGTGTTTCTCAAGCTGTAAGCATTCTCCATAATAGCACAGCTTTTCTGCATCGCTAACCCCAGCTCATATAATTTATGACAGTACCGATGCGTACATTTACACATATGGGCAGTGGAATCAAATTTTGTCTTTGATCTGTTGGCGCTTGAGTAATTGCTCTACACCTTGCCATTATTGGCACCGGTTAATGTATCTGGGCTAAATCATGTGTGTTCACAGCTTCTGACTTCCAGTAAAGTAAGTGAATCTACATATGGGTGCATCAATCTTAGATGTCCTAGCTAGTTGTGTTGGGAATTGTGTTGTTGATGTCATACTAATGTGTTGTAATGTTTTCTAGACGGGTATGATTGTGTCTCTGTGGTTAGCACTGCTGCTTCACAGCTCCAGGGTGGGGGTTTCAGGTCCCACCCCCGGCTCTCTGTGGGGGTATGCATGCTTGCATTTCCTTTGGACACTTCAGCTTCCTCTCACATTCCAAAGGCATAAAATTAGACAGATTGGTGTCTCTAAATCCACATGTCCGGGGGAGCTGTGCGACCGACGTCCCATCCAAGGCGCCTTATGCCTCCTGCAATAGGCTCTGGACTTTTTGTGATCCTGCAGATTGCAGATCCAGCACAGTGGCTAGAAGATGAATGGATGGATGGATGGATGGATGGATGTTTTTAAAAGAACAAAGGATTCAATGCTTTGAAAAATACTTTGCCACTATTAATTTACTGCCTCAAATAAGTTCCCTTCTTTGTTGCTGGAGAGTGCATGGATCCTGATCATTTACTGAGGATGCCAAAGTGACGCACAGCTCTTATACGGCAGGGCGTCCGAGTTAAGAGCAGGTGTGGCATGTGTGAACCCCCTCCCCCGTCGTGCCTCACTGACCGCCGCGATGCTGTGCCTTCACTCAGCTGCTCAAAGAGATTAACAGAACGAGCCGAAGCCTTCGCTTCAGGAGGGAGCTGGAGCCCAAAGCTTACATCGCCGCCTACTTCAAAGAGCTTCCCTCCGAGTTCACCCTGGGAGATGCCAAGATGTACGGCGACTTTGAAAACAAGCCGCTCCAGAGTGGACAGGAATACATTTTCTTCGTCCTGGCCGTCCTCGAGATGTCTGACCATGTGAGTGACATTGTCTTCCGGTCCCATCGAGGCAGCGGGTTCTTTGATCGGGTCAGGTGGGGTATACAGATGCAGACACAGCCATGTTGGAGGAAGAGGTCAGCCCACACTGTGCTGACAGCATGACTGTTTAACTCTGTGGCTCTGAAAGCAGAATGGTGGTGTGCATTAATCAGGCATGATTTCACTATATCAGGTTGGGGGGGGGGGGTGCTCTTCACTTCCAGAGTCAGGAGTTCACATCCAAACCTTCACTTTGTGTGGTAGGGGGCATGCAAGTTCTCTGTTTGCATGTTTGTCTCGATTCGTGTGTGTGTGTGTGTTGGTGGGGGGGGGGGGGGGGGGGGTGTTTATGTTTAGATTATATAGTGGCAGAGGTAGAAAGTTCAGGTTCAGAAAGAAATCCAGACCAGGGTTTTTTTTTCCTGTTAGGGGGACCATTTTTTCATTCTCCACAAAGGAAAATTCAATTTTATAAAAAGAAAAATCTGTGGTTTTTCTAAGGCAGGGGAGGGTAAACTTATCCAGAAAGGGCCGCTGTGTGTGCGGGTTTTCGCTGCAGCTCCCTAATTAGATTACTAATTAGAGGACCGATTGGCTGAAGAGTCCTCACACCTGGGTTTGAACAGCTGACCTACAGGTTATCCCAAAAATCTGCATACGCACCGGCCCTTTGTGGCTAAGACTGGCCACCCCTGTTTTAAAGTCATCCATAGGTCACGCATCCATCTTTAACATTTTTTATCGCTTTGATATTTGTTTATTTTGTTCCTTCATTCATTCACTCATTCTTACTATTTATGTTCAATTCACTTACCTCAATCATAGCTTTAATTGGAAACATTCCGATATTATATCTACGTTGTGTGCTAATGTTTTCATACCTTGGGTTATTTTCTGCACCTGTCCTCTCTGTCTATGTGCTTCAGGTCCCAGGGAATGTTATTTCATGCCACCATATGCAGTTTACTGTGACAGTAAAGCCCCCCTTTATGTGACATGACCTGACCTATCTCCCCCTCCCCAGACTATGTATGCCACCAGCCCCTATTCGGACCCCGTGGTGTCCGCCGACAATGACCCGCAGCCCATCATCGACGAAGAGGAGGGACTCATCTGGGTGGTGGGCCCGGTGCTGGCCGTCGTCTTCATCATCTGCATCGTCATCGCCATCCTTCTGTACAAGAGGTAGGAGAGGAAATGGGGAAGAGCACCTACAGTATGAGCACAGGGAGCCTAGTGTTAACCTTCCATCACCCCCCCTGCCCCGGGGGCTGTGAACTGGAAGCAGCGGGTAATGGAACATCACCCCCTTATGTGAGGAGGAGTAACTGCATGTTGTCTCTGCTCTGAAAAGGAAAACAGACGACGTAAAAGTGAGGCAGTTATTACAGGCTTTTTTGGGTAGTTATCCTTCTGCTAGAAGTTATCCTTCTGGTATTTCGGGCATCTAAATGATCAATCAACTGTCATCTTTGTTAAAATGCCAATTTAGTCGAGAGAAAATAATCATTCCAATAGCAGCCTTTATGAGAGGAACAGCTGTAGGCTAACAATAGATGTCCTGAAGATTTAATTGCCAGCAAATTTGCAGTATGCCAATTAAGTCAGTCTCACCAGTATATTCACATGTGAGTGAGGGATATTTAACCAGGGGTATAACTAGGAGGTATTTCACCTGTCAGAATTAATTTGAGAATTATATGATGGTACCTCATGGACTAGCGGCAATTTTGTGCTGGTTGCGATGGATGCAAAAATACTCGAGTAATAGAAATAGCTAATAAAATATCAAAGGGGTACCTGTAAACCACTTATTAATCTTATAGAAAGGTGTACAGTCATGGGACAACCTTCAAAAATCATTCCAGGACTTCTGGACAAAAGTTGTTTGGTAATTGAGGATTTTTGCATAGCTTTGCACCTCACACAAAGGTCTGAAATCATTTTAATGCACTTTTTCATTGCACAAGAACCCTAACTGCTACAACAAGCACCATCTGACTGTTTTTGCATAGTATCTATATTTTTTCGAAACTCTAAAAGAAAGCAGTTTTTTTTGGACAACAGGCAAATGCATTATGGCTTGAAGTCGTACAGCGAGTTATAGTATTGCCAAAACGTTTATTTAATGGTCTAGAACAGGGATGTCAAAAAACTCCAGTCCTGGGGGCCGAAGTTCTACACATTTTTGGGTTTGCCCTCATTTAACACACTTGATTCAACTCCTTGCACCTCCTTATGGTAATTATCACACAGCTTTTCAGCTGAATCATTTGTGATGGAACAGGGAAAGAACTAAGCTACACAGGACTCCGGCCCCCCAGGACTGAAGTTTGACACCCCTGGTGTAGAATATGGATGGTTGGCAGAATGCATTGGATTTAGGTATTTCTGGCATGTTTAAACATCAGCTCTTTGTTTAGAAATAACATTTTCAGATCCCCAGGATAGGTTGATTGGTGAGTCTCAATTGGCCCTGTAGTTGTGTGTGCCCTGCGGTGTGTTGGCGACTGCCCAGGGATGGTTCCCGCCTGTGCCAATTGTTCCCGGGATGGGCTCCGGTCCCCCCTGCCACCCCAGTTGGGATTGAGTGGTTTCAGAAAATGGATGGATGGATTTAAAAATGCTTAGACAAAAGTCTTGCCATCGGTCTCTGGGGTCTGCAGTGACATGGCAGTAAGGACTGGCGAGGTGGACGAGGCAAAATAAAATATGAAGAAATTAATTTCTCATTTTCACCATAGATGTCCATTTCCCTTGTGCACTTTAATGCCTCATCAACTATAATACCCATTCTATTAAAATTATGGACTGGGCAATGCTGAATGGAGAATTACAAGATACTGCAGCTAGAGAAACACAATTAATTTTCTGAAATGGGAAAAGAGAAGGAAATGTAATTATATATCGGTGGAAGCAAGCCATTGCAATCTCCCCGGCGAAGTGACACACCCAGCGGCTCCTCCAATCGAGAGCACGCCGAAACAAAACGTGTCATTCCTGGGTAAACAACCTTCCCCCAGGTACTAAATAGAGAGCTTGGTTCTGCATTTTCAGGAAGATCTAACAGCTCTGGGACTGGTAAGGATACCTGCAGTGCACACAGAATCCCATGGCAGTGGTTTGAGAGGCATCAGGTGTCTTGTGTCCAGTTATAAATTCAGGCCTAGAGTGGCTGCAAAGAGGTTAATCTGTGTTTAACTTGTGTAAGATCTCATTTGATTGTTGCTGGAAGGAGTTTGGACCTTTGATGTTTCTCGCATCATGGATTGCACTGATAGGCTGTGAGCAAGGCCACGCCCACCTGATACCACAAAGCCACTCCCAAGTCCTGTCATTGCCCACCCAGTGGTTACTCTCAGTACTGCATTTATTCTTGGGCTCTTCCTGCTGCTTTTTGCTTCTCATTTATTCTGATCTTTCCCAAAAAATGCCTTGTCCGCTCTCTTAAGGTACGGTCAGGCTAGCGCAAAAAAAACGGAAAACAAAAATCCAGTGTCTTCGCAGAGTAAAGAGAAAGTGGGAGTGACTGAATAATACGGGTTTATTGTGGTAGTTTGGGTAAAACGTGATATTTTCTTTCAGCTAATAGTGTTGCTTTTGAAAATACCGTATGGCAAGAAACATGAGGATCATGATACCTAGCAATGTGTTATAAACAGGGTTTGATATAGCTGGTATGCAGGTACACATTAACTGCACGTGCTGATAATTTCTTGTCGTAGTAGCGCAAATGCATTCTTCTCCCACAGTTTTTTATTATTAAAAAACGTCCCTGTCTTAACAAGGCAAATGCACATAAAATAAATATCCTCCTCCATTGTATATCTGTGAAACTTTGGGGTCAGCTCCACCCATGCCGCACCGGATTGGTTTAGCATGAGAAATTCCCAGGTCAAAGTTCATTTAAAGTACCGGAAGCGAATTTTCTCCTTGTCGCGTCAAAGTGTCTAGAATGGAACTGAACAGGAGCCGAATATTTTTTTCACGCGAGTGCGACCACACCTTTAACCATGACCTTTTCCACGCCTGGGCTTTCCCGAGATTGGTGCGTCCTGGAATCTCTGCCATTTCTGGCCTTTTCCGTGGCTGCATGCTAAAGATATTTTGCGGTTAGTGCATTTTCGTGGTGCCGGATCACCGCGTGGCGGGAGCAGCTGGTAATAACAAAGCACATTTTTGAATTTCAATAGATCAGAGGATCAAAGGTCATCAGTAATTACATCCTCGACTACAGCAAATCACTGAACAGAACGAATTACTGCACTTATGTTAAATATAGCACTAAGCACTCATAACCATCTAAAGTGCCATTTCAAACAGAGTGATCATTTTGTGTTTGTATATATCTTCTTATTTTTAAGGGTGCTTATTTTTGAAGGAGAATAATTGGATTATTAATTTAAATATACTGTATACAATATATAGAAAATATGCAGTATCTATAGCATTTTATGTCTGGACTCCAGTTAATCAAAAAACATATTCTGTGGACTTAAGTGTGTCTAATCTGATTTTCTAAGACTTAGTTAGAAGTTCTAATTACAGAGCAGGAGGAGTTTGAAACAAATAAAGTGTTACGTTCTCCATTTGACAATAAACGGCAGCTCAATATGTAAATTAAAAAAAAAAAAAAAAAACAGATACATAGTTGAGCCTTTAGAGATAAATAGATCCTTGCGGTGTGCAGCTGTGGAGAAACAACGGTCTTCTGAAGCCGCCCCAGATACTGTGAGATATAAAACTGGACATGGCGTAGCTAGCAGAGGGAACAAGGCAACGTCTCACGCAATCCAGAAGCCGTTCTTTTGCAACGGAGAGGCTATTGCCTGTCACCGAACCGTCCACCGCGTTTCCCGTATCTGGTGTGATTAAAGTACACGACTCTGCTTTCCGGCCCACGGAAATCGCAGGCTATGAGGTGGTCATCGCCACCGTCTAACTCTCTCCTTTGTTTCCCATTCGCTCGCATTTGGAGCAGCAAACCGGACAGGTAAGGGCATGGAGAGATGCTCTCCCACTCTCTCACCATCCAGGACCCTTCTGTGTGTTCCTGTAGGTCCATCACCCTCCAGTTCAGTTGCCCATTACGTTACATTTTCCCAAACCCCCGACCATCACCAATGTAAATGCTAATGGTGTTCAAGTGGGAAATGGGTTTCAGGCTCATGGAGGGGAATCCGTGTCTCCTGGAATCTGTTAAAACAGGATCAGCCATCAGCCAGAGCCATTGTGATAGGATGAGAGCGTAATTGCATTAGCCTTTACGCTGATTGGCTGCTCATCCAGGTGGGGGCTACACAGTGGTGATGGTTCAAGTGGCTCTCCATTGGTTCAGTAAAGCGCTTTGGGTGTCTAGAAAAAGCACTGTATAAATGTGACATTCATTCTTTCATTCTTACACGGAGGACCCCCCCCCCGTTTGGAATGAGAAGAGTCTGTTGTTGGTCTTTTCCTGCTGCAAAAAAGACGTGTGTGCGCTTCCGGGCACTGCCATGTTCTGATTGGCTGTGTTGTCATACCGTTGATTAAAGAAACAAGGTGTTTATCGGTCTATCGGGCATAGAGGTCTAAGGCGTTGGGGGGGGGGGTGTTAATATGATAGGGTAGATGTTGTAATGAGCGTGTTATTAGGGCAACTTTTAAAAAGGCAGGTGAGCTGTGTGCTCGAGAAAGCGGTTTTGCATATTCATTTGTTGAAGGGAAGGGCTACTCGTCTGAATCGTTCTTTTGTTGTGCAGCTGACAGACTTGCCTGTTGCAAAAATGCATTATTCAGTATATTTCAATACCGTTTTTTACAAAGTGTAATTACTGGGTCCTGTCCTACGATGCAAAGTATTCATACTAGAGGAAGAGTTAATGTGTGTCCCGTATCTTGTTTCGGCTGGTTTTGTTAAACTGGGCAAAATATTTAGATTTGGATATTTTGCGGGTGAGTCTTTGCATGTCACTCCGTTCCCCATTAATACGTGCTGTCAGGCTGTCAGTACAGTGAATACAGAACATTGGCTCTGTATATTTGAATTAAGTTCTCAAATCATAGTGAAAAAGCGCCAGTGTGACACTCCTATGCCCTGCAATGGGTTGGCGCCCCATCCTAGGTTGTTCCCTGCCTTGCGCCCGTAGCCTCCAGGATAGACACTGGACCCCCCGTGACCCTGAATATGACAAGCGGTTACAGAAGATGGATGGATGGATCGATGGTACTCATACACCTCAATGAGATAAAACAACCTCTGAATGTAGACCTCTTCATGTTTTGCTCAGTGAACGAGAATAACATCTCATTTTTTTCATACTTTAAAGTACACACCGTAATAAATGTGATGGTCATGGGTTAGACAGCACGGATGTTGATTGTTCATTTATGACTAACGAGGTAAACCGAGTGACATCACTGCGGTCCCAACCCGTAATATTTGGGGACCCAAGTTTGCCAAACCTTTCTGTTCGATGTATCTTAATTTCAGTTGCCTTAAGTCCCCCTTCTGCGGCGCTCCTGGCCTACTCCTCATGTTAGCATACGTGTACAAGCACAGTCTGCAGCCTCCCTGAGATGGTGGGACCCACCCCTGGTCACCAGGGTCTCTGATTGTCAGGATTGTTGGGTTCTCCTCAGGAATCCAGGAGTCACCACACAGCGTAGGGGCTATTTCCCGTGCGGAGTCACCAAGCAGCGTAGGGGCTATTTCCCGTGCGGAGTCACCACGCAGCGTAGGGGCTATTTCCCGTGCGGAGTCACCAAGCAGCGTAGGGGCTATTTCCCGTGCGGAGTCACCAAGCAGCGTAGGGGCTATTTCC